TTGAACCGGATGAAGGATTTTAGTAATCGGACATCTGGATCTTAAGTTATCAGAGAAACAAGCTGAGGTAACGTTAGCAGCACCTTGGTTCGCAGCCCCTCCGGGACGTCCTTTGTCTGCTCAACAGCGTGGGAGAAGCAGTGATTTTTAAGGTGGAACTGCTTTATTCAAGTGTGTTTAGTGGTTTTAAATCAAGCCAAGGTCTGTCTTGTTTGGAGGGAGGAAGACCTCTGTGGAAATGACGCCAATGGTGGTGAAGACCACAACTCCCATGATCCCACACTGCTTCACCACCTCATCACACTTCCTCTTTTATTATTGTTTGGTGAAAATTACAGATTGTACGTTAAATGATTTAGAAAACCCTGAAAGCCTCAAACAAGGAGAAAAGCATCAAAAAGCCAAAGTAACCAATCAAAACAAGGGTAGACCAACAGGAAGTGAAGAGCAGGAAAACATAAATAAGCCCCCCTCTCGTCCCAGCAGCCAATCAACAACCAGTGATGAAAACTGGGTGAATCCAACAAACAGGAAAACAGAAGCACATAAAGAAAATCTGATGTCGCTCCCGTTGCACCATTTTGATCTGAGGAGGAAGAGAAACAAAATGGCGTCTGGGAGGTGGAGGGAGAGTTTAAACTGAACACTGTAGCTCCACACTACCTTCTGCTGGAAACTGCGCTGACTGCAGGAGGAGAAACAGATCTACAGATTCTGATTCTCGCTGATCAATAACTGATCAAACACTGCCAGGATTAAAGTACTGAAAGTATCTAGGTGATGTCACACCTGATCGATCAGCTTCCTGCAGTTTTTCGGAGCTCAGGTGTTCAGTTTGAACCAGCTCAGACGAGCCATTGTTCATCCACACTTCCTGTTTCACTGGCAGGTCACTGCGTTTGCTCCACATGCTTGTTTCCATGCTGACCACCAACCAGTCAATCAGCGTACCACTTTGGCCATGGAGGGTGATGTCCTTCCTGTCAGGTGACCTGGCGAGGGCGCGGGGTTGAGCTCATCCAGAGGGGATTTAGGAGGAAGCAGTGGGGTCAAAGGTAAGATCACAGAGGCTCCGCCCCCACGAAGGTCCAGACTTCTTACTTCACTTCCTCTGGTCACATCAGTGATGATGTCACAGACGCCAGGTGGAGGCTCTGACGGCGAGGTTGGCGTCTTCACCTCAAGAATCGTGATTAACGGCCCTGGTGTGATGACATCATCAGCGGTGGCCAGTGGGATGATTCTGACCTGCCTTCCTGTCTCAGCACTCTCCGTTGCCATGGCAATGTCGGAACTGTCATTCCTGGTTGTCATGGTGACGACCCGGCCGGACGCAGTGTCGTAGCTTCGCCCCACAGTGTAGCTCTTCTCTCTGATTGGCTGAGGGGGAGCTTGGTTTGTTATGACCCCACCCTCCTGGAGTGCATAGGTGAGCAACATCAAACACACACAGACTGACTGATTAACCAATCACAGATCAATAACACCTGTATGGTTGTTTTATTGACAGCTCAGTTGACCTACCACTGCCGAGCTGCTGTCCAGTGGGAGGGCCTGAGAGACAGAGTGAGAGACAGACAGACAGACAAAGAGACAGAGTGAGAGACAGACAGAATGAGAGACAGACAGAAAGAGAGACAGACAGAAACAGAGTGACATACAGGCAGAGAGAGACAGACAGAGTGGTTTGTTTCATTTATCTACCAGGAGATGGCAGTGTCTCCTCACCTCGTCTGGTTCCAGCGGTTCAATCATCGGGGAGTCATCCACTCGGCGTAGAGGTGAGGAGGCAAGACGTTTCTCCCACTCTGTCATCCCTCCTCCTCCTCCTCCTCCCTCTAAGAACGAGCGCCTGAGAGCGCTGATGGTGCTCTGAGGTTTCTGCTCCTCTTCTGGACTTGCCAACGTCTCCTGAAGACAAAGACCAACACTGAGTCTCTATCAGAATGCCATTACTTGAAGAATACTGAGACCAGTCTTACCTGAGTCTTCAAGTCTTCATCCTGATCAGACTGACATACACAGGCAGAGACAGACAGACAGACAGAGAGACAGGTTCATGTTAGATATAAATAAAGGTTATTATTACTATTTATCCAGTTCAACTATGAGGGAGCTTTCAGACAGACTCTATTACAGGTAACTGTCTGAAAGCATTGTGACATCAGCAGTACCTCAGTTGCCGTCAGGTCTCCATCCACAGCTGTGTCAGTCAGCTCCGTCTAATCACAAACAAACCTTTGGTCAAACAGGAAGTCAACATCTTAAACAGGAACAAGCAGTTAGACAGGTGAGACAGGTGAGACGGATGAGACAGGTGTTTGTTACCTTGGTGTCCTGTTTCTGAGGAGTCAGAGGACTCTGCTGAGAAATCTCTCTGGTCTCCTCCCTCTCCTCCTCTTCCTCATCCTGCTGCACTTCCTCTTTATCCACCTCCAGCCTCTCCTGCACCTCCTCCTCCAACACCAACACCTCCTCCACTAGGACACATGAGACGAGAGACGGATACATGGAGACAAAAGGAGGCATCAGTCAGTTTCACAGTCACCTGGTCTGACATGTCTCCTCTGATTGTTTGTTTTCTGTACCTTGCTCCTCCCCCCTCTCCTCCGTCCTCCTCTCAGGTGTTACCGTGGTAATGAGGTCACTGACGGCGATGGCTTTAGATGCTCCGTATAGTCCCGTACCCATATCTACACACACACACACACACACAAACCAGACAGCGTTACCATGGCAACCATCGGCCAGCTGAAGCGACCACTGTGTGTCAGCCAAGCTGTCCTAGTGTTGATCAGCAGCAAAGCATCACGGCTGCTCATTGCCAAGGCAACGGCATGTTCAGCCAATCAGGCATGCAAGGTGGCCAGGGCCAGCCAATCAATCAGCCAATCAATCAGCCAATCAGCTATGACCTGTTATTATATACATACATGACCTGTTGATCACACCACTTATTCACAAGGATACAAGCTAAGAATGCTAACAAACTAACATTGCTAACAATATAAATAGCAAGTGTAACAATGCTAATTATGCTAATAATACTAACATTAAAGAGTCAGACCTCCTTCCTGTTGAACAGAAAAACAACAAAAGTCTACAAGAAGGGGGCGGGGCTAAACCAGGATATAAAGTGGTGATGCCTTGCCCTGCATGGCGAGGGGCGGGGCTTAGAGTTTTTCTGTCCATACTTTCTGTATAGTCATAACGCACACACCTATCACACACAGGTACATTCTGTCTGATGATGTTATCAAGGACAGGATGGAGGTCTGACCAAGAGAAACCAAAGAGCTCATCGGACGGGAATGAATAGCTAATCCCACATGTGTCTGAATGAGTCCCTCTAGACAATCAGGACGCAGCATTCAGTGATGGCACAGCATTCAGAGCTGTGGCCAATCACAGCACAGTAGTACTGCAGTACTACAGCATCACTGAGCTCTACCTGTGTGTGTACTACCGTTGGCTTTGGGGGACACGGTGATGGCTGGAGAGCCAATCAGAGAGGACGTGGCCCTGGAAGCTGAGGACCAATCAGAGACTCTGGTTACCAACAAATAAAAGACACAACTGACCAATCACACAGTGGGACTCCTGGACCTGAACCCTCCCACCGCTACCACTGAGACAGTACTACTGGGACCATTACTTTTACTACTACTACTACAAACAGGACCACAATTATTTCAGGCACCAATACTAGTATGATTACTACCTCCGTCCAGGCTGCGGCTCAGCAAGTTCCTCTTGCTGATACATCGTGGGAAGTGCGGTGCAGGTCTAGATATTTGAGCGCTGGCTCTACGACTCTGGATCTGAGTCCGACCACTGTACCGGAACTTTGAACCCAGAGACAGGAACTTCTTTGGGGTCTCCTCTGGAGACATCAGCCTGAGACAAATGGGTACAGGGAGACAGATGGGTGGGAGGGGGCAGACAGGTGGGGTAAGACAGTGGCAGTTGTCAGAGCATGTCCTGATCAATTAACCTTATTTTGTATCACACCTTACCTACAGGTTAGTCCCTTAAACACATCACGCTAACGTAATGACCTTGAACACACTCCAGTTCACTGACCTGAAGAAGGAGTGATGCTCCACACAGACCTTCCACAATCTTTTAGCTGCTCGGTGGTTCAGCAGCTTGAAACCAATAGTAGACTCAAACTGGTCAAACTGGAGACAGAGAGAGAGACTCAAACTGGTCAAACTAGAACAGTGATATTGACAGCTTGGTTTCAATTTGACTGTCAGCGAGTTGTTTCATTATCTCCAGCAGAAAATGTGTAACTTTCCTTCCCAACAGAAAATTTCTGCTAACAGACACTTGAAGGGTTACTCCTGAATCCTGAGCAGAGACAGACTGAACTTGGTGGGTGTGCTTAGTCCTGTTCTGTCTGGAGGTGTGTTGGCATCTCATGTCATGGCCATGGCTGTATCTTTGCCTTTTCCTTGTGTTTTCTTGTGTTTCCCCTTCCCTTGTGTCTCCTGTGTGTTGTAGATGTGGTTTTGCCTCCTGCCCTCAAGCTCTGCTCAAAACACCATTCTGAAATCAACTCTCCCAGTCTGCTCATCTACCTTCAATCAACTCATCTACCTCACAGTATATCTACCCCAGTGCTCCATCTGCTCTCTGCCAGATCATTATGTCTTCTGTCATAAGTATTCCATTCAATGGGAGTTACACCTCACCTACCTGCCAACCAGCCATCTTCAGTAAACCATCTCCTCAACCCTCTTATCATTGCCATCAACACCCTTTTTGGAAATAAACCAACTTAAATTTCATCAATCTCTAAATCTGTCTTGCATTTGGGTCCACACCTTCATCCACTGTAACATCTCACCTCTCCTGGTCGGATCTTGATGTAGAAGTTGTTCCTTTTATACGAGATCTTCAGGATCTTCGGCCACGAGAATCTGTTGATCCTAAGTCTGTCTCTGTAGACCAGCAGACCACTACTGCACACACCCAGCATGATGGCCACGCCCTCCGAGTCCTAGACAGACAGACAGACAGACAGACAGACTCATGAATGACTAAAATGGGAAAAGTTGTTTGTGTTTTTATTAATTTTATTTAATTTAATGCATGAGCACCGTAATTCAAATTTGACAAAATGAAAACCACCAGTTCATTAAAATGTTTAAACTTATAATAATTAGGCATGCACAGATACCAATACATTGGGTACATCTTCTGAAGATAGAATCAGAAGCATCATGTCTTTAAAGTCATCATACTTGTACTTGGTCTGATAAAAGGGGTAATGATGTATCCATAATAAGAATAAAGAAGAACGAATAAGAATAATTCTGAATACATATACACTGATCAGCCCTAAAACAGTGAGCACTGCCAGTAACACTGATTATCTGGGTATCAGGGCTCCTGTCAGTGGAGGGTATATCAGACAGACAGTGAACATTTGGTCCTCAAAGTTGATGTGTTAGAAGCAGGAAAAATGGGCAGTGTGAGGATTTGAGCGACTTTGACAAGGGCCAAATTGTGCTACTGTAGCTCAAGC